ACCAGTCACGTGACCTCTGACGCAACACTGCCCCTCCTTAGTATTGTTCGTCCCGAACAATAACCACATACAATAAACCAATAACAATTAACAATAACTTAATTAAATGTACAGAATTACAATCACAAAATTACAATTCAACAAAGTCTCTTAATTTTACGGGACGTATCTTCTCCCGTACTGGTCTCCGTCTTGTTGGCTTCTGCTTCATGTGGGGTTCATCTGCTTCCTCAGTAAATGTCCTATCATCGGTAACAGTCACATCAGTGGTAGTAACTTCATCAAGAGCTTCATCATTTCCCTTCTCAAAACTGAGTAGAGTTTCTTCTTCGACGTTGGCTTTTTCAGGTGACACCTCTTCAGCAGCGTCATTTGTTCCTTTGTTCACTTCGTCCCAACTAAAATGTCCTGGACCGTGATAACGCCAAAGCCTGTTGGCATGCACCACTTTTGGTCTACCTCGCCGACCACATTTTACCCGGAAAGTCACGTCTGAGAGACGATCCATTATGTCATATGGGCCTTCCCATGGAGAAGACAACTTAGGAGACTTCCCTTTGGTCTTCCTGGGATTATACAACCACACCTTGTCTCCTGGTACGAAGCTGACTTCAGTAGATCTCTTATCATAAGTTAACTTCATCGAATCAGCAGACGTTTTCAAGTTTGAACGCACTTGATGGTGAACATCATCCATCCTTTCCGATAAAACTTCCACAAACTCTGACATATTCACAGGCAACTCTTCATAAGGTGGGCGTCCCTTATGCTTGGGTCCCCTTTTAGCACTACATGTATTGCATGTCCTGCACCATTCTTCAACATCTTGCCTCATACCTATCCAGTAACATCTTTGGCGTAGATGACTCAATGTCTTCCTAATTCCGAGATGTCCTCCTGTTAAATTATCATGGGATCGACGCAGCACAACATCCCATAACTTCCTCGGTATAACTGTTTGCCAAGTCGTCACTTTCCCATCTGTAGTTTCCCATCTCCGGACAAGAATACCATTTTCAAGCTTTAACTGGTCCCATTGTGCCCAATAGTGCTTTGCCACAGGGCTTAGACTAAACGCCTTCTCCCAAGCAGGGCGCACAACACTTGCTTTTAGAAAATCAATCATTGCCTTCAAATCTTGGTCTTTCTCCTGTTCTGCCTGGATATCTATATTTTGTTCCACTTCACCATTATCAACTCCTTCAGTCACTTTGACTTCAACTTGATGACACCTGATTAGTTCAACTTCTCTTTTAACAGTTACTGGAACTTGGCCTTTGTAGTTCCAAAATGTCATTTTATCAAAATTAATTACAAACTTCCTTGGTAGTAAATAGTCCAACCCTAATATGCATTCGTCTTCAATGTCAGCCAAGTATACTTTGTGTCTGTCCTTTATACCAATGAGCTCAATAATTACCACACTGGTACCCACAACCTTGCAGAATGTCCTGTCACACCACAAAGTTTTGGTATGGCTTCTGGTACTCCTTCGTGATCTAACACCTTGTTGCTCACAAGGGTTTGCTGAGACGCAGAATCTATGACAAAGTTGCACCTTTGGCCATCCAGCTTTCCTGTCACATAGACACTGTGTGTGCTTGGCATTTTACACCTAGCTGTTGGGACTTTCATGATGGGGGTTGGTGGGCGTCACACAACACCAACCACTACTGGTCTCCTTGAGGCCGACTTGTTGGTAATATTCTTCTTACACTGGCTCCTCATATGTCCTTGCTCTCCACAGTTCCAACAAGCTTTCTGGGTAGCTGCCTTTCCTGCCGTGGCATCTTCCCTGTGTTAAAGTTTCCAGCATCGAGCTTCCATGTGCCCTGATTTGTTAAAGTGCCAGCAAAGTCCCTGAAACCTCTCTGAATGTTGACCTTTTCTGGCCTTGAATCCAGATGACTGTACCAACCTTGGTACCTCTGTGCTGGACTTAACGTAGGATTCAAATTCAAGAGCTCTGGCCATTGCATCCTACATAGTAGAGGGGTGTGCTTGGTTTACTTGTATCTTTAGTCGTGGACTGTTCAAGGCGTCTACAAACTGATCTCTCAGCAACAACTTGAGGAGATCGGGTGGCGCAGTTGGGTAGGCGTTGTGTGCCATACTTTCCAAGTCCTGTGCCAGCTCTTGCAGGCTCTCCCCTTAGCATGGACTCTCGTCCTAAACCTAGCCCTGTAGACTTCTGACTGATTTTGGGTTCCATACCTGAGTTTATGAGCCGCTACCAGTGCTCTATAGTTGTGTCCGTCATCTGCTGGCAACTGTCCAAGTACTGGACCATCCCTCTTGCTGACATTCATATCTGGGATGTGACTTCTAACAGGACTGAATATGTCAGCATTAGGATTTAGCTGCGGGGTCTGAAAGGGGCTTGTCCTTGTCTGGGGCTGATTAAGTCGATGGTTAATGTATCCTCCTTGTGTAAAAGACAATATATCATCCTTTAATGCATTTAATTCGCTTTGAAATTTACTAATGTTTTCCATTTGTGTACTCTGGCTTTCTCTCAACTGTTGGAGACTTTCTTCGTGTTTATTTTCTTTCTCCTCCAGCCACTGCTGTAGTCTCTCTTCTTGTTCATTTTCTTTCTCCTCCAACAGCTGCTGTAATCTCTCTTGTTTATTTTGCTGTTCAAGCTGCCACTGTTGCAAGTTATCTTGCCATTGCTGTAATCTCTCTTCTTGTTTATTTTCTCGTTTTTCTTGTTTCTTTTGCTGTTCTTGTATTGCTGCCATCAAATCTTCCACTTTTCGTTTCCATATTCTTTTTTTTTCATCCCACTTCTGACACCAATTTGTTACGCCTCTGTGTTCGTTTGTTAATTTTCCGTAAAATTTCTTTCCGAATAAACTTTAGTGATATAAGTCCTTTCTTAAATAAAACTAGTTTATTCTTTCTTAATACAACTTTGCAATACACTTAATTTCCATGATCACGCTATAACTTAAACAAACACTATAATTCACAACGAACGATTCACACCTTGACTCAATTGTCCGTCTCTATCACTGTCTGCAATCGATTC